AATTGTTTGTTTGTTGGGGTTTTTAAAAGGTATAAAAATTCAAAAACCTTTTCCATAAATGCAGCTGTTGCTTCCAAAGGGTCTTTTCCTCTGCCACCTTTACAGTTTGACAATCTTCAGACATTGGGATAGTCCATTTAGGCCTTGCCCAGAAAGCTCAAAACCTTTATCAGAACTAGGTGCTTCAGGCACTCTGTGTAGTTTGTTTGTAGCTTCCCTTTACATTTGGTCTTGCTTTGTGAAAAATGTTAATAGGTGACTAAGGAGAGAACCAGTAAGAGCAGGTGTAGAACTCAGTACATTTGGACTGCCCCATTTTAAGTCCTATATTAGACAGGATAATTCATATTTAGAGATGATACTTTTCTCTAAGCTGAGACACTGACAATTGCTCTGAAAAATTTGGAGAAAAGTAGGAATTATCTCCATTTCTAAGAGGAGTAAAGAGGTCTTAATGAAGGATTTAAGGTTATTAAGCCCCTGGGGATGCCAAGAGGTGGAAGGAAGGGAAATCTTGGTGTTTTCTGGTCTCATGACTTGTCCTTATGAGGAAGTTCTTGCAAAGTAAATTAAGATTATGTTAGCACACTTGTATAAATTTATAGCATGCTAGCTGCTTGATTGAGTCTTTATGTAGACACTAGAGTGCACTTCAAAGTGAAATAAGCTTGCCCTTATGAAATAATAAGGAAATAAGGTGGTGTGGTGGTGTGAATAAGTGCTGCACATCTAGATTTACTTTGTAATAGTTCATTAACAGCCTTATTCAATGGTTTGAGGCAAAATGGAATTTTCCCATGGTGAAATGGGGCCCACACACTGACAGCTGAATTATTCTGGTTTGGGGGATCTGCAGTCTTGTTCTGCTTGAAGAAAAGCTCTTTACAGCTTCTTGATCCCACCTCTCTGTTTAGCAGAACATCTGGCTGTGGAGCAACAGCATCTCCATCAGCCTCCAGAATGAACACCTTGCCATAGAACATGGATGGCATGGGAGGTAAAGCAAAATAAAAACAAAACCAAAATGAACTGGACAAAAAGAGGTTTTAAAATAAAAGAATATCCCTTCAGATAGTTAGCAGCTATTACAGGAGGTTTATTTATAGCTTCCTGTTTTCTTCTGAAAGATGGAAGAGAGTCAATGGAATCAGTATTAACTATTATTCCTTCTTTGTGCTGTAAATCTAAAATAAACTAGAGAATAGTGAAATTTGACTTTCATGAATTGTATTGCTGTGTTTCCAAAGCTGTTTGTGTCTTTGCCCTTAATAAAAAACTCTATTGGACAAAAGATCAAGGCCATCAATGTTCAGTGCTGCAACTGAAAAGCATCCCACAACAATGTCTTTCAGGTTGTAATGTTCACAGGAAAAGGTTCTGAATTGGAGAGGGCTGAGTGGGTGGAGAGAACAGCATGTTCCCAAAGAAGCACACGCTGCACAGCTGAAGCAATGTGAACCTTAGCCATAGCATGATTGAACTGGCTTTCATTATTTCTTCAAACTTCTTAATTCTTCCTGCATAATGTGTAAGGCTGCACTTGAGAAAATGTTGAAAGGTGCTCAGGCCTGCTTTTCTGTTGTCAAGCTCACCTTGGTATAAACTGAAATAACACCATTTGTATCGAAAGAATTGCATTTGACTTGGTTAAATAAGATTCTAGTCTTGTTCCTACTTCCCCTTTTTCTCCTATTTCTCAGCAGCAGGAACAATTAAATGAATGTGCTACAATGAAAACCTGTATAGAGAGCAAGAGATAGCTATTGTTACAGGGCCTAAAAGGGACCACAGCATTGGTATAAAGCTAATAGCTAAACTGAGTGCTGCATTAGGAAACAGCTTTTGCTATTTGAATAAACAAAATACTTTTAAATGTAATGTAAGAAAGAGCAATAAGAAATCCTGAGATATGGTGTGGAAGCATAACTGCATATGGTACATGAAAAGCATTCTCTGCTTAACTATAGTTCTTAGACATGGAATAAAATGATATTCAGTTCAGGATCTTTGAGGTCTTACATTTCAAGATGTATTTTCAGAGTAGAAGCTTAAATTAGGTATGATTATTAAAGAAAATGTATCCTTTTCAAAAAAACTGCTGAGAAGGGAGATGGACCAACTGGGTAGCACATTTTGCAAAGCTGAAGTAAGTAATTGTAGCCAGTCCTTTCCCTGTCAAGGAATATTTCCTGTTACTAGAAGAAGCAGCACAGCATTCTGTCAGTCTACCATTCAAATGGCCAGAATCCATAGTGAGAAAGATTATCACTATGGCAAATCCAAGCTTTTCCTACCCTTTTCCTGAGAGGCTGTGTCCACATGCCATGCCAACCCTGCTTGAGACTGATTTTTCTGCTGAGAGCCTTAGTGAAAATGAGGCACCAAAATGTTTTTCTTATGACTGATTTAAATCTTAAATGTTGGTCACGAGACTGGTTTTTCTGCTGAGAGCCTTAGTGCAAATGAGGCACCAAAATGTTTTTCTTACGACTGATTTAAATCTTAAATGTTGGTCAAGTGCAGAAACCCTTACTGGTGTGTCATCTTGAGTGATGTTTTTTCAGCCTGGGGTTTGCAGTGTCTAACTAGGAGCCTGCAGAAGATAATGAAGGTAGAGATTGCACTGTCAGACTGGACACTGCTCTCCACAGGCCTCAGCCCAGGATGTGCTCTCCATCATACCTTCCCAGATGTGAGCTCCATCATACCTTCCCAGATGTGCTCTCCATCATACCTTCCCAGATGTGCTCTCCACTCTGCCTTCCCAGTGCAGAGAAGAACAGAAGCCCCTCTGTGCTTCTCCATTCTGCTTCTTGAGGCATCCTCTGAAAGTAACACACTGTGATGTCCACGTATCTCCTTCCTCCCTTCCTTCCCTGAATGCCTGGATTGCCTTTGGCAGGACCCTGTGATGCTGGGGGGAACAGTGAGCAGCCCTCAGTGATTGAGGACCTGTGCTTAGGACATGCTGCAGATCACTCTGAGCCCTCAGTGTGGACTCATCCTGGGATAGATAAACCTATAATCAGAATTAAATTCACAGTATAGGGATTTGTATTTCCACTGGGTAACTGCACAGAGGCTTCTAGAGCAGAAGAAAGTTGAAATTAGTGGGCAAGAATGATGGGACAGCTTTGAATGATGCTGCCCCAAAGCATGTGCAAGAAGTGGCAGAAAGCACTCTGTGTAGGTGAAATGAACTTCATCTACTTGCAACTCATTACCTTGCAACAGAAGGTCCAAGGAGACCAGTGATCTCCCAGGACTGGGAAACTCTCCCAGCTCCCACGTTTCAGACAAAGCCTATACGTGTTCCAAGAGGAGTTGGATAAACCTCTGATCTCTGATAGTGTCCTGATGGAGCTATCACCATGTGCTGTGTGTGGTCTGGTTTCAGCTCCTCCAGCTGCTTTCTGACAGCTAAAACATGTTTGAACATTGCAGTGGATGGTGAGGATGGGTCTGTCTTTGATCGTAAAGCTACGTTAAAAGTGATCCCATGCCAAACTCACTCTGCTTTCAGGAAGTGTTTTGAAACAGTTTTTTGTTTTTCTTTGTTAAATGCCTGAATAATTAACTTACATGCTAGTGATTTATCATTTGTTGTTAGGAAAATCTAATTTGTTACACCAGAAAACTGAAACAAAGCTGAGCCACAAGTATGTAACTTATACTGTATATCTGGATAGTGTGGATTAATTTGAGAGTATAATGGAAAGCCTTTCAATGAATGCATAATGACAGAATAAATAGATACCTGTTAGAGTGGCACTTGCCTGCCTAATGAATTACCCAGATTATTACATGCCTGTTGTATTTAGGAATAAAAATTATGTTATACATCAGTTAGAATTAAGCAGAGCCCATCATTAGAGGGGTAGGATTCCACAGCTGTTTCATGCTTCTTCTTTCTGTTTCCTTTTTGATTTCTGTATATCAAACTGCCAGATTTGTTTGCTAACATTAAATATTTTAGTTGGATTATTGACTGAGGAAACATTCATCTAAAATATATAATTTTGAAGTACTCTTTCACTCCATGTAAAGCAGGTATTGCTCACTGCAGCAAGTGGTGATAGACACAAGTGTTGCAGCAGGTGAGGGTACCCTGTCCTGCCTATCAGACTGTCCAGAGAGGAAAGGACAGACTCCAGGGTGCTTTTAACACTAGGCTAGGAGTCAAGAACCTGGTTGATACTTCCACTTTGGATGGCCCTGACCTTGAGCAAGGCTTTTAGCTATCTGTACCTCATCTCTGTATACAAAATACAGAGTGTAGAGCTCTGTAGGTGTGTTGTTCTGAGGACATTTCAGATGTTGGTTAATTTCCATTACTTTTTGTGAAATTTCTGTGTTCTGTTAGAAAGGACAGGAAAATTTCCTCAATTGTTTCTCTCCTTCTCAGGCTGCAAGCTAAGACCAAATTATTTGGTTGATTTCATCAGGCAGAGCTGCAGAATAGTCTTCAGGAATGCAGTGAACTGAGATTCAGATTAGATGTTAGGAAAAAACTTCTCCCTGTGAGGGTGTTCAGGCACTGGGATAGATTGCTCAGGGAGGTGGTGGAGTCACCATCCCTGGAAGTGTTTCAGAGGTGTCTGGATCTGACCCTGGAGGATCTGATTTAAGGTTTAGGGGTTCCAGCAGTGACAGGTTAATGGTTGGACCTGATGATCTTAGGTCTTCTCCAGCCTTGATGATTCTGTGATTCTATGAATGACTGCAGAGCCTAATTGCCTTTCAGAGAGAGTGTGATGATGAAGGAAGCAATCTATTGCATTACCTTTCCAGTTATGCTATCTGCATCCTCCATTAGATACTAACATTCAGTTAAGACTAGACTTTGTTATCTCCTGCTCATGGAATCATTCATTATTACTCCAAAAGCACAGTATAATATTCAGACCAGATCACTTGAACAAAGTCACCATGCCCCTCTCCCTCTTTCTAAGCCACGTTCAACATACACAACATTTGACCCTTTTAATTTTTACTGGTAGCCAAACGCTTAGCGATGTACCAAGAACCTGACTCTGAGGAAGATGAGGCAGCCCCAAAAGGAGGAACTCTGTCCCAGCGTGATAGTATCTGCAGCCATCAGAGCATCAAAGTGATGCACAGAAGCCAGAGCACCAAGACCCACCGGCGCACAGGGAGCAGAGCTGAAGCAAAAAGAGCAAGTATCCTCTCCAAACACACTGCCTTCAGCAGCCCAATGGTAAGTCACGAGCTCAACAGTGCCCTGTGTCTTGTAATAGAAAACGTCCCAAAAGGAAAAGGTAAAGAAATCTGCAGCACTTTGTGTACTGCTTCGACTTCGTCTTGGTGTTTTTACTTCTGTAGTCACAGCTGTTTGTACAAAAACAATCGAGTGTTGGCACAGATCTTGTCTCAATCCTTTGTGGGAACAAGCTAAAGGTGAAGAGAGTCTGAAACCTTTGGTTTAGTTGTACCTTGATTTTTGGAAAGAAAATATGTACCTTCCTTTTGCCTACTGAAGCTGAGAGTAGCATAAGGTTTGAGGTCAAGGACTCTTTAATTGTTCTGCATGTGCCTCTTCTTTTCTCTTTTGTCAGAGGATTTTAGAGCTAACAAGTGCTGGGGTGGACATATGTCTTCCAATTCTTAGACACTGTCGACATACATCACATCATAATTTTCAGTGTGACTCAGTGGTTAGCAGTGCATTGCATGTGTTGTATTTTAAAAAGAAAAAACCTTTACATTTCGAAATGTCGGAGAGTTTATGTCCTTACAGTTGCATTTCTTTACATTTTGAAATGTTGGAGAGTTTATGTCCTTACAGTTGCATTTTGTTTATTTTATACTTTTGTAATTCTGTGGAGGTTTTACATGAGTTGAAGAAGAGAGGAGAGAAGCCAAGTCGTGTCTGTCTAAAGGTTTTGCATTGTTGCACTGCCGACCCAAATTCACCCTTAAAGCAAATTACAAATATAGACAACAAAATATGCTGTTTGCACTGGTGGAATTCTTGATTTCAGTCAAGAGTCAGCACTTTAGATAAAATTCTAAGCTGCAGTTTTTACACGTGGGGTTCTGTGGCTGCTCATGTTCATCAGCTGCTGAGCACCAGGAGATAAAATTCTACTGAGGGAAGAGGCATAGATCAGTTTGTCTCTTAATCTTTTGTATCCTTGCACCTGCCTGTCTTAAGAAATACTGAAGTTTGATCTGACAAGAAATATATTAAATGTAAGTGGAAAGTCCTGATGAAATGGAGTTGAAAGTGCTCTGTTTCAGTGTAAAACAACATGAATTAACTTCCAGTGTGTGGGTGGTTGCTGTTCTCTTAACAAACAATCGAAGATGGTTTTGGTTTATTGTGCTGATGTAAGGCTGAGCTTTAAATGTCATTGCTGTCTAATTTTTTCCACACTTTTGGTGTCTGTAGTGTACCAGCCTTTAGTAGCAGGCAATAAATGTCTTGAATTAGACAGGAGAGAGGGAGGAAAATTAGTATGTAACTCTTCTCTTATCCACTACCTCCAAAGTAGATAAATATTGCTGCTATAATCATCTGTAGTGGAGAAGTTGGTAACACAGTTACTAACATTTCCATTCCTACCAGTAGGCTCCTTGTTAACTGTTTATCACCCAGAATGGACAACTTACAGTTCTTTCCACCTCCATGTGGTGTAAAACCACCACAAAACTCTTGATATTGACACTGCTTTGGATCCTTTAATTGCTTGTTACTGCTTTGGAAATTTGCAGAATCACAGATATTAATCACTGCTATTTATTACTAGGAGAAGGACATCACACCTGACCCACGATTGTTAGAGAAGGTGAATGAGTGTGCAAAGCATCTGGAGGTCATGAGAAGCCATGAACAACCATTAGCCCATCTGAGTCCAGAACTATGTGACATCTTTGACTTCTTCATAGCTTTGACTATATGTAATACAGTTGTGGTTACTGCACCAAATCAGCCCCGACAGAAGGTAGGTTAAAAAAACTGGAAAAGAGAGTTTAACCTTCTTTTACCTTGATACTAATTTTTCTGGCAATCTGAGGAAATTAAAACCTCCTGTTCTAGTGAGAAACAAGTAGCACTAGTTGTGAGACAACTTGCAGAACCACAATGTGACCAAGTCAGTTTAGTTAAGCATTAACAGAGTGGAGTATATCAGCTATTTCACTTACCTCCATGGTAAGATGCATCTTCATTGACAATTTCAAGACACTTGTGAAATTTTCCTGATTTCTTGTACTTGTATTACTTCTTTAATAAGCACAAATACATGTTGAAGTATGTGTGGAAACTAATTTGCAAACGTGCAGCACTTACCCGAAATGGATATAAGTTGTGAGTGAATAATTTGTGTATATGGATTAAATTAACAAAAGGCTGTGACATTTTTTGTAAAACTTTAAAAAGAGAAAATACTTGAAAAACATTGCTTAAAACTTTCAAATTACGTAAAAGATGTATCTTAAGCTCATTATGAAAAATAACAATTATTACAGCTTAAATTGGCCTAAACCAGTGTCATTGATGAATGAGAATTTCAAGAATGCAATCCCAAGATGATCTGTAAGAAAAAACTATCATGGAATGTAGTATTAAAGCTTGCCAGCAGCTGGAATTTCCATTCTGGAGAAAATTCTGCACATTGCTTCTGTTCCAGATTGGAATAAAAAGGGAACTAGTCTGCAAAACGATGTGGGTTTGTGCCAAGGAAACATTTGGAGAATGCTCAGTTCTGCTGTTTCAGGAGTGCTACACTGTTATACAATCATTTAATCTATATTACTATGAATATGCTATTACTATTAATACTATTGTATGTGTAGGACAGATTGATGTAAACTGAGATGAATGATAAAACCAAAGTGAAATTCTTTGATGCTGGAATAGAAAACAGGGTAATTATTTATATCAACATTTGCCTGCTGAGAATGTTGTCTACACTGGCACATTCTCATAAAGCTTTTCTGACACCTTACTTCTCAATACAAAAATCTTGCATTAATTTCTCTTTTTTTACTACCTTTGCTGATTATGCACAAATAATGCCAATGTTTCCTAGCAATGGTAGGTTTTAGTAGGCACTACTGGTGCTGGTGGTGCAACATTGATATCCATTAGTCTTGTCTGAGGAGGTGAAAGGAAAAAAAATGGGTTTAATGTAAACATAAGGGCTTTCACACACCGGTGCTCTTCTGATGTTCTAAGTAAGTTTTTTTGTTGTTGTGTCAGTTTTGTCCATTTACTTTCCTTTCTCAAAATGCAAATACCATTACTTCTTGCTCTCAAAGAAATTCTACTCTTTAGTTAGAGTTGCTTATCAATGTCAGAATTCTTGTCCAGATTTTCTTTAGGGTTTGTTCATTGTTGGGTTTTTGTTTTTGTTTTGGTTTTGTTTTGATTTCTCAAGGTTAGAGACCGATTTGAACTGAAATCTCCAGTAAAAACCATAGAAGGATTCATCCGCAGATTCACTCCAAGTCGCTTGACCTCTGGATCCAACAGCAGCAGTTCATCTAGTCTAGCTACAAGCAAATCAATGCACAGATTTGGGTTCAGTGTGCTTTCATCTACATCTACTGAGAGCACTTTATTAAAACTGGAAGAGAAGTTGGCATACTCTGCACAGACCAACAACAACGGTTACAGCTCCCAGCCAGGCAAGACAGCGGTGGGGAGTGCACCCGAGGAAGGAGAGCTCCGTTACGAGGCAGAGAGTCCAGATGAAGCTGCTCTTGTCTATGCAGCAAGGGCATATAACTGTTCTCTGGTTGGAAGGCTGTCTGACCAGGTATCAGTGGAGCTACCTCACCTGGGAACATTAAGCTTTGAAGTGTTACACACGTTGGGCTTTGATTCCGTCAGGAAGAGGATGTCAGTAGTGGTCAGACATCCTCTGACAGATGAAATAAATGTTTACACTAAAGGAGCAGATTCAGTTATTATGGATCTTCTTCTACCCTGCTCTTCAGGTACACTCTGTCTTACCTTCATGGGCATAGGGTGGGAGGGCTGAGGGGTCTGGGGGAGGCACTTCTGCTCAATGGCTGGAGAACTCATCCTATCTCGTTGCCTTCTGTAGCTTTTGGTGTGAATATAAGGAATGGTAGAATGGCAACTCTCTCTCTTTTATAATATTATGTTATTAGAGCAAATTTTCTGTGACAAATTTGTGAGGCTCCTTTACCTCACAAGAATGAGTGAAGATAAGTTCTGTGGAAAAATCTTCTCCTCGAAAAATTGATTTTGTAGGAATTTCTTGAAACTCTACCAAAGCAATTTCTATTCCTCCAGGAAAACCTGTCTGGCAGTGCTTGGACAGTTGAGTATTGTGTATGAAACCTAAGCACTTGCTATTGCAGCTTGTTTCATTTGTGAATCTTTACATCCTTTTGCTGCAATATGTTGCATAAATGGGCACATTTATGCAGGTTTGACTCTCATGCTAGAGGGCAATGTGAATCAATCAGCCATCAAAACAGAAAGGTTGTGACAAAAGGAGAGATGTTGTTCAGACAAGACATCTTGGCTTTGGATATGTAGTTGACTACTAGGGAATAGGAATATAGCTGAGGACATGGAACTTCCCTAAAGCATGGAAAATTCTCCAGCACCCAAATGTCATATGGAACAGAGACAACTCTAAATAGCTGTTCATTGTGATAAGTTGGATCCAAGAAGAACTCTGTATGCTTTCAGAAGTTAGAGGAGACACACGAGTTTCAGTGTGCATGAGTCAGTTTGCAGCTAATTTACTGCATTTTTGACACTGAATTTCATCCAGTGTTTAAAGATTCCCCTGGTATGAATAGACAGAGCCCAAAAGTGCTAGAGGTACTTCCCATGTTTCACTAATGCATTGACTTTGTGGTTACTTTGACATTAGTTCGAGTAAACAATTGTGAAAGGCTTATACTGTGTAATTTTAGTTTAATGAAATACAGAAAAATGTTGGCATTAGTTTTCTGTTTACAGCCATATAAATCAAAGCTGAGCCAAAAAAATTAAGAACAACTTGTCCTTAACTAACAGCAGAGTATTCATGAATAATTTTCTAGCAAAGATCTGATATCACAGAAGGTACATAAAGTATCTGTGGAAACTTGTTTCCCTCCAAAGTACTAATAGAGAATTTGTAGGACTGAGAATTTCTAATAACATACCTAGAAAAGAATGTTTGGAAACGAGTTCTCAGAATGAGAGTTGAGTGTTAAAAAGAAAAGAAAAAATTACTTTATGCCAAATCTTAAATATTTTGTCAGCATATAAGGAACTTTGTTTATAGTTGCAGTGTCCAATGGATGAAGGCACTTTCAGTGAAATTTCAGGCAGATCTAGGACCCATCTGGGTAAAAACAACAAGGCCAGTTAGAAAATCAAACAGCAGCAACATTATTGAAGGTGGTGTATGTCAGAGAGGGGGAAACAGAGTTCCTGGAGGTTGGTGTGGGGATCTAGGCAAATACAGTGATTTCACCACCATTACAGGCAGTCAGATTGAAGGTGACTTTGCAATTGTGCAGGTCTTTGATGGGTTCTTTTTCTTAGTGTTTTAGCCTAAATTGAACGATGAGTTTTGGTATACTTTGTTTTTGCAAGCAAAGTAAAGTGCAGCAACTAGAACATCATAAAGAGTTTCCCTTGTTTTCCAGTCCTCTTAAGCCACTGCTGGCTTCAGTAATTCTGTGTGTCTCAGCAGATCTGTCTGAAAAACATTTGACATTTCTCTTGAGCAGCTTTCAGTCCTGGAACTGAATTCAGTCTCAGTATCCTAATATCAGTGGATGCATTGTCAGTTCCTGAGGGTACAGAGTGTTTTTCCTCTTACAGAGAGGTATTTCCCAGGTAGAGAGAGCCTCAGATGATTTATGCTATGGTTATTATCTATATCATGGGATTCATCACTGGTTTCACCCTGTTCTCTGGTGACAGTGGAACAGAAATGTGAGAGGAGATGCAAAGCTACAAGAATTCAGGCATTAAGCATTTCAAGAAAATTATCAATAAGTGAATTGACATGACAACTAATCCCACAGCTTATTGTTCTTTGCTCTCTTAGTGCTCCAGGGACATGGGAGCAGTACATCAGTGAAGGATGTACAGGGGATGTGTGTCCTGCCAGGGCTGCAGGGGGACAACTAGAGGGAATGGCCATAAGCTGAGACAGGAGTGATGCAGATTAGATGTTAGGAAAACGTTTTTCCCTGTTAGGGTGTTCAGGCACTGGAATATTGCCCAGGGAGGTGGTGGAGTCACCATCCCTGGAGGTGTTTCAGAGGTGTCTGGATGTGACACTGGAGGATCTGGTTTAGGGTTTAGAGGTTCCAGCAGTGACAGGTTAATGGTTGGATTCGATGATCTTAGAGGTCTCCTCTAACCCTGATGATTCTGTGATGTGTCTTGAGACTTTGGAGTACTTGTGCCCTTAGACTGAAGGACCAAGGCAACACTGTCCATAATCTCCTAGGTCAAACACCACATAGCATGACTAGGTCCTGTCAGACACAAAGGTATTTGGGAGAAGGAGTATTTTAAAATATGACATGCAGAACAGCCCAAAATCAGAAGCAAAAGTATTATGTTTTTGCTTCATTTGTGTCTTATAGAAAAGTTCAAATCACCATGAGCTTCAAAACTTCAAAAGTTTGTGAACTGACTCCGTTTGTTCTGCCTGTATATCTAGTTAAGGCTGTGGAACCTGATGTATTCTGATAGCAAACAGATCTTTCCAAAAGTCTTGAAACCATTCCCAAGTGTGTACTGTTTTTACTTTATCTCAACAATCATCATGTTCATAAATAAGAAAGTTACTGTTTTGAGTCAATACTCAGTGCACACAGGAACTGTGAACATAAGTCATGGAGAAAACAATGCCTGGGCTGGTTTTCTGCAGCTTGAGATGATGGAAGGAAATGAAGCAGGCAGAACACCACTTGGTTTCTATCATTCTTCTGGAGAAGACTTGCTGGTTTCACTGAGATGCTGCATGTGGTCACACTGCTCAGCACAGACACTGCATCCCAGCTGAAAAAGTCTCCACAACTGGGTTTTGTCTGCAAGAGATTCCTTCCTTCCTACCTTCTAACTTCTGAGCACAGGATGAATCTCAGGGTAGGACTGATGAGGCACATGAGAGCTGGAAGGGGGTTTAGCTGTCCTTGGTGTGCTGGTGGAGGAGGGAGGTGCAGTCCCTGGAACTGAGGATTCTCACAGAAAATGGTGTTCATATCTCTGCTTGGAGAGAATTACTCTTTGTTCATGGAAGGACAAATAAGCATTTGACATTATGATCACAGCATTAGCACCCAAAGTATTCAGGCAGACCTGAAGTGATTAACACCACTTAACCTTAAAGGGATAGAAACAACTTTTGGTGCCTTTAAGGACCTATTGAAGTTGCATCATTTGAAATCAGTGAGCCACTTAAATAGCCACTCCTGTAAGACAATTTCATGTGGGATATACAAAAAAAAATAGGGCATTTTTCTCTAGAATGGCAATGTATCACAGTAAGTGAGGAGGAATGCTTGCCTGCTTTATTGTTCCAAGTTAAAAAAAGATGGCTTACTAATACAAAAAGCCTTGAAGAAGGTTTGCTGCAGTACTTCTCTTATATTATGCAGCAGAGTCACAATATGCTGAAAAAGATTATCATGCACAAATAGGAAAGAAACTAAATGAAACTGTGTTAGGCTGCCAGTTCCTTAGATGCACATTTTCACGTTATGTTGCAGCTGAATCTTGGTGTGAGCTGTTCTAATAACTCCTGAAGGAAGCTGGTGGTGTGTGTATCAGAGCCACAAGCTACAGTGAAGGTATTCCAGAACCTTCTGGACACAATCCTGAGCCTTGTGCTCTAGGGTGGCCCTGCTGGAGTAGGGAGGTTGGAGCAGATGACCCATTGTGGTCCCTTCCAACCTCACTGATTCTGTGAAAAGAAAGGGCTTTCCAATTGCAAATAATACTTGTACAGATGTTATTCTGCAGTAATATATCTGTATTTGAGAAAATCAACAGTGATAGCATAGATAGCATTAATAGATAGATGGACAGGCCCATCAGAATATTCCTGCCAGTATTCACCACATGACCTTTATCAGAGATGGAACTGAAATTAAGGTATGCAGGAAATACCACAATCTTCATAGAGTCCCTTAGGAGCAACTGAGTGTGTACCTCCCAACTTTACAGATCTGGAGAGGATAGGGCAGTCTTTAAAGATGAGAAAAAGGCTATACAGTGAGTAAAATGTTCTGATACATGGTTTAGAAAAATGCAACCAAACAGAATTTTGGGATTCCAAGCTCTCAGTTCCCTCCTTCCTGCAAAATCAATACTTGTATGTGTTTGAGCTGGAGCATCTCAATGCTCAGTTACACACTGTGCTGCTGTGGAAGTATGAAAATGCTGAATGCTTTGTCACTTTATAGACAGATAGATGTGTCTATATGTGGTCACAGGTAGCAGGATCAAGTTCAATATGGGAAAATAATGGGTGCTGAAAAGTAGAAACAGTAAGATGTTTATGTCATCTAATTCACACACCTGTATTAAGTGCCTAAGATAAGGACATAGTGCCCACAGGTTCTGAGTATGAGAGGTGAGCTCCAGTGGGGAACTGGGAGCACATGGAGCAAATCTCTTCAGGTGCTCAGACTTCCTCCAGTGGGGAACTGAGAGCACATGGAGCAAATCTCTTCAGGTGCTCAGACTTCTGGTGAGGAATGGTGACTCTGTGACTAGTTACTGTGCAGGTACCAGTCACACAAATGCTGCATTAAACAACAGCTCCAATGACAGAATTATAATCCTGAAATGATTCCACATCACCCAAAAATATGAAGACTTTAGTAAAAAAAAGTGTAGCACATCAGGAAGTAGGAAAACCTGCCAGAAGGTACTGGTGATTCTCACACAGTGGTTCCAATCTAAAATCTTACCAACTTGTGTGTTTACTTTAGTACTAACCTTGCAATTCATATTATTTATTAATACTGCAGTACCTTTGTCATGAACCAGTCTTGATCCTAGAGGATAAAAAGGATGCATTATCACTTGTTTTTAATTTTTTAAGACATCAGGTCATAAGATGGAACAAATATATTGCCATCCTATTACTCGTTTGACCACACTGTGAGCACATTGAAGCAATCCAAGCTAAAGAGAGAAAAGAAACAGATGTTCAGTCCTGATTTTGAGTTCTTACACATGGCCTTAAGTGAAGAGTAAAGCTCAGTGGGAGCTGATGTCCCAGAGGTAGAAGCTAGGCCTGCACAAGTATAAATTCTCTTCTAAATCAAATCCCAGTCATATCCAGAGCTTCTTGCACTGCCCCAGGCTGATAGGCAGTGTCAGTGCAGCACTAACAGACCAAAGTACCTTCATCTACTTAGATATACAGAGCACAGTTTCTGGTTCTTTTGAGATACTAACCTTGGTGGAAAACTAGCTGCTATTTTTAGGTAAGTATCATTTTTCTGCACATGATGAGCTGTGGAGAAGCATTTGCTAGTACTGTGTGTGAAATCTTACTTCTACTTCTGACATTATTGTTTGCTGTGAAGATTATCATGATTTCTTAAAGTATTCAGGCCAAAGAAATACTTGAGGAGTAAGAAAAAGGTCTTTCTCACATACATTCACGATGCCTCTTTCAAAGAGGAAAGACAGAAAAGCTAGAACAAAAAAACAGTATTTTTTTTCTTAAATGAAATGTTTTACTTGAGTTTCCCAGGAAACATCACCAACTCCTTAAAAGTATCAGTTATAAAGTGCTGGTACAGTGAGTACTGTATACAAGTTTTTATTCCCTGAGGCTATTCAGCTGCTGTTATTTTTCAATCAGTAATTTATTTTTTTTTTATTCTTATCTAGATGACCCTCGGGGCAAACATCAAAAAAAAATCCGAAGCAAAACCCAGAATTACCTTAATCTGTATGCTGTAGATGGGCTAAGGACCCTCTGTATTGCAAAAAGAGTAAGTAAATGCAGGTTCTTTTGCTTTTACAGAGAGTCTTGACAAAGATTACTGAAGGCATTTATTAATTCATTGTTCTTGATTCATAACATTTTCATTTTATTCAGTAAAGTGTGAATGCCTCTGCATCACGTTGGCTGTGCCCTCACATACTCTTTTCCATAGGTTCTCAGCAAGGAGGAGTATGCCTGTTGGTTAAAAACTCATTTAGAAGCAGAATCCTCTATTGAAAATCGTGAAGAACTTCTGTTTCAGTCAGCACTGCGGATAGAGAAGAATCTGCATCTGCTAGGTAATGAAATGAGAGCAGGACATGAAATTAAAATCTGATCAAAAATCTGAAAGCTTGGCTATGAAATCCATTCTTTCCCCTAAATGATTTCTGACAGTACAGAAATTGGCTTCTTTGGGACTTTATCCTGGCTGTCATGTGCAGCACCACAGAGGAATGGGATATAATTAACATAATAGACATACCCTGTTTTCCTTGCTCCTGCCATCATTTTATCATGAGTGAAATGAGTGGAGTAATACCAGGGATGAGCTTGACACAATATCATAAATGGAAACTGCTGCTCTAAACAGGAGGAGGACTTGGCCCAAACTGTCTACAGAATTTCATTACCTTAGTGCTGCTTCAACGTGTCAGAGGTTTCCATGGCTCCAGGGGCACCAGGGACACACCTGAAGCAAAGCTCATCAGCTGCATTTGTGAGAGGCATCAACTCTCACACACCTCAGGTTCAGCACGTGCACCCAGAGCCTGTGCATTCTGTGGCAAGGGACTGCAGTAAAAATCAGCATGTGTAAAAATTACTGCAAGAACTGAGCCATACTCTTCTCTGAGATTCTAAAAGGTGTGTATATTCACTATTACTCCATGCAGCCAACTGGTTTCTCCAGCAAAGAAACTGGGACAGCCAGAACAGTGTCAGGGAAAACAACCTTCACTAATTGCCAATGTGTCTGGCTCTGGGAGACGAGATCCATCTCACACAACTTTTAATGTATCTGCTACAGATCTCTAAGGCTTGACATAAAACCAATGGAGAGACAGAAAACAAAGTGCAGTTCATTTGGTCTGTCTTAGATTCCTGCTCTAGATGACTCTGCCCTTGGAGTGGCTGTTTCTCTCCCCTGACTTAAAGAGGGACACAGGTCACCTAATTTGGACTACAGTCATCAAGAAGATCCCACTGTGGTTGTACCTGTTGCCTCTGGCTGCACTCAGGAGTGAAAAAAAATTAACAAGTGAAATTCAGCTGCCAAACAAATCAGTAAGCTCTAGCTAGAAGTAAACTACCAGTTCAGTCATTCCCCAAGATCCTCATACTGTGGTTTGTATCTTGCAATAAACAGTTATGATTGGGTTGTGGGAATAAAATTGAGTCTGGAAAAGGAATGTATTTTCCTATGTTAGGATAATAGTAACTTTCCCAACATTGCCCTAAGAATGTGTTTTCACCTAAATGACTGGTGCTCAGACTACAGGTGCACTTCTATTGTTAATGCTATTTTTTTTCAAAGAACAACCATAGGGATAATAAATAGATTAGAAAAGTTTATTTTTTTTCCTGTTGTTCCAGGTAACTTGCATGTTTGTCACCTCCTCATTCTTTAGTTGCAGTGCTTGCATTTCCTCACACTGAAGTCTCTCTGACACTCAGTGGAGCACTGATGTATCAGTGCTGACACTGAGCTTGGTCCTGAGAGGCTTTTTGCTGCTTTTCATATATATGAAAATCTTGTCTCTCTCAACTGATTTATGTAAGCATAAAAAAGACACCCAGTCTCTTATAAACAGGTAGAAAGATGCATTGAAAGCATGAAAAAGGCACATTTTATTTTCACATCATGGCCCACAGATTTATGATTTATTCTCTGCTATATCTCATTTGGCCATCAGTGTCATTCTGCAAGAGCAAAGAGCAGCAACAAGGCAGGAACAGGTTTAGGTCTGCAGCCTAAAGCTGCAGTCTTGTTGTCATTCCCCTTCACGAGGGAGAGAACTCTACTGACTCAGCCTCTTCTAGTTGAGAAAAGGCAGTTCAGACCCTTTAGAACTGATCTCCAAGAACCTGCAACTCCTCTAGGAACATTCAGAAGAAATGATGAAGATACAGAGCATGAAGTCAAAGAGCATGGTGAACTTCTGAGACTAGAAGTGTCATCAGGTTGCTTTTACAATTTTGAATTCTGGATTTGTTCCTGACTGTTAATGCAAATGTTTACCCCAGCTACTTTCCTCTTTCTCAATACCCCCTAAAATCTGTCCAAATCTTGCAACCATTGCTAGTTTATTTCCCAATAAGAGTGACTGCTGGGCTTGTTGGGTTTTTAAAAATAGAATCCAAGCTTACAATTTCAGGTGAGCACTAATTGTTCATTTAGTATGGAACATTTAGCTCTTTTTTTGAATGTGCTTAGGTGCAACTGGCATTGAAGACCGTTTACAGGACGGTGTTCCAGAAACCATCGCAAACCTGCGCAAGGCTGGGCTGCAGATTTGGGTTCTTACTGGAGACAAGCAAGAAACAGCTGTTAATATTGCCTATGCCTGCAAGCTACTAGAGCACGACGAGGAAATCATCACTTTGAATGCTGAATCACCAGTAAGGAGATCCAACATTTTTTATTTTTTACTAGTTTACCTCTGAACTAGTTTGGCTTTATTTTACGCTTGTACAATTAGAAGTTTGATGGCTCTTTTTTCCTTTCCCTCTTTTCGTTTCTGCTTTTCCTGCTTCGTCCATAATTTTCAGGTAGGACATGTCTTTGAATATTTTTCAGTGCATCATGCTTCTAAGCCATAGTGTCATGTGTCATAAACTTACTGAAGGTGTGTAAGTGTGTACAGTGAACTCCACCATGAGTGAAAAGATGCCATAGCAGCATAAATGCCTTTCTTTGCTATACATTCATTTTGTTTATTGGCACTAATGGGTTAAAAAGCAACCTGTTATTAAGCTCACATTGAGGAAGAAATCAATGGATTAGCTATTGAGAATTTGTGCTTTATATTATGCCACTGAAATGTAGTATTTAGATAATTCATTCTTGTTTTCTCAGGTGGCTTTTTCTCTGGAGGTAGAAGTAATACTTAAATTTTGATGCTAACACTGAGAGGCAGAAAAACACATCTGCAGTAATGCCTTGCTTCCTAACAGACCTTTTCTAATCCTTCTAAATTGCTGATCTTTCCTGTGCTCAACTCGTTGCAAGCAGTCGCAGAGAGTTTACTGGTACAGTCTAAGATACGAGGAACGAGACTGATAGTGCTGAAGTCCTTTAATGGGGTGATAAAATTGGACTTCAGATCAGCAGAGGAGAGGTAGGCCATCAGTATCCAGCTCCAATTTCTCTCGAAAAGGAAGAAAAGATAACAGCATTTTCCATTCTCAAGTATATCAACTGAACTGGTAAATGGATTTTCCATGGTTTTTCTTTTTAGTCATGCTTTGCTGTAAGACCAGTAACATTTCTTTTAAATGTTCATATATTCTCAGTAACATCTTTTAGCTGAATATGCCTAGGAGAGAGAACTCAGCTTAAATAACCTGTAATTGGCCTTTAACAATGCAAAACTCTTTGCTCTGAGTTGTGGGTGTGTACATGGTGTTCATCACCACAATGGTGTTCATCACCCTACTTAACTTGGTACCAATTGTGTGTCATTTCCCAGCACTGTTATTCTGAGAAGGAGCTAAAAGGAATTCGGTTAGCACACAATACTGCATGTTAAAGAAGAATTAGGTTTTAAGCCTTTCTACTCCTTATTGCAGCCATACGTTCTGCAAGAACGAAGTGTGTTTAGAGCAAAGAGCAAAGAGTATTATAAATTAAAACTTTAACAGTGCAGCGAATATAAAACATTCCCCATATTCATTGTGCCTAAATATAGAGCAAACAGAAGCCTTTGAATGCATGTTATTTTCTCTCAAGCATATTTATTTTGAATTTTTTTTCAGGAGACATGTGCTGTCTTGCTGGAACAGTGTCTGCAATGCGTAGAGTCTAAATTTTCAAACAACGCAATAGACGAAGCTACTGGAAACATGACTGTTGGGTTCACATCCACTCTCTATCCATCCTCTTCCTGTGTGCTTTCCAGCTTGGGCCTAGTGATTGATGGAAGGACTTTAGCTTATGCCCTGGAACCTACACTAGAAGATAAATTTCTTGCACTAGCCAAGCGATGCCGTTCGGTACTGTGTTGTCGCTCTACCCCACTCCAGAAGAGCATGGTGGTGAAACTAGTCAGAGACAAACTCAAAGCAATGACCTTGGCAATAGGTAAATAACTCGGTTTAAACTGCCCTGCCTTGATGTATACTCTCTCAAGAATTTTTGACTTGCTATAAGACCCTTCCAGCTGCCTCACAACTGAAACAGCCTCCCAGGTCTGTCTGAAAACATGTTGGACAACTCTAACACATTCACTCTAACATATTTACTCAAACCCAAGATAGAACTCTGAGCAGTGTTTGGGATTTCTTCCTGCAGAAGTTAGGTAATCAGGAGCCAGGTATGCTCTGAGGTTTTGGCATGTCTGAACACAGCTGTGAAGAACTGGGTTAGGTGATGCTGTGCAAAACACCGTTTTGCAATCACTGTATTCCACCTAAAAACGTCCTACTCAAGGTTCTGCATTTTTCATCACAAGTTGGCCATACAGTTTAAGGTATGATTTGGCCTTGTCAGTACTGAGAGTGGATTTACAGCTGGCATCATGTCAATACTTACAGTTCTTCCCAGCCCAACTGGCCAAGAGGAGACTTTGACCTGTCTTAAATTTCACAGGATCGTCCACGTTTCTATGATTTTTACACAAGAAAAGTCAACCAGCCCTTCTTTCACTATCTC